ATGTTGAGAGGAAGTCCCTCAAGGAAGCAGTTCTGGTGATGTGTTCAAGGAATTGTTTGTCATATTGGGAAATTTATTTTTCTGTCTCACCTTGACTTGTTCGTTCTACACAATTTTTAAATGCATCAAATAAACAAGATACACAATGTTTTCCCCTTTCCTGGCTCCAACTTAAATTGAATGCAGACATGAAAGTGGCCGATCATAACATCTAAATATTCGCAAGAAATCCCAGTAAGTGTCCTACACTTACCAAAATGTTGCACTATTCCTTGAACCTTACTTGTGCTCAACTCTTCCCACTTAAATTGTATTAAGTCAGAAAAAATGAGAGACAGCAACACAGGCCCATGAACAAACTAAGGAGTTGATAGTTGGCACCTAAGAACACATTGTGATTAAAATACCACCACATATTTATTCATATTATTCCTGACAAGCTCACATTGTCACACACAAACAAAAAACGGTGACAGCAAGTCAGGCAGCCCATCCCAAGCTAGGCTCCAGTGCGGAGGGATGTCAGACTTGTGAATTGTGGGGGGGAGTCTGAATGACAATGGGTCTGGTAGCCCTAGAGGAGATTGTTATGGGCAATGGGACCAGGCAGCGGCTGTGTGCTGGAGTCAACAGCCCCAATCACCCACCTGGAACCTGGGGCCCAGACAGCCGGGGGGAAGGTGGAGCCGCTGGCCTGACACCGGCTACGAGGCTGCAGGGACAGAGGAGCCCCAGCCCAGACAGATCCTCCAGGGCTGTGATGTCTCCAAGTCCCGCCTTGTTGGTGACCTGCATGTGCTGCTCCTTTCCATCACTTTTTTTAAATTCCCCCTCCGTTTACCTTCGTCTATTACCAGCTCCTCCTCTCCTTCAGGACCCCGGAGACCACACCCCACCAAATCCCCACCTAAAACTGCCTGTGCTCTGGTTTAATCTCCGCTGGATGTGGGTGGAGGTGGGAGGGAGGCGAAAACCACATATTACATCATGTATTTACTTATCCAGGGTAGCAAGCGCGCCACATGGTGAGTGGAGCTGGGGGTGAAAGGTGAAAGATTCAGGAGTAAATGACTCATGACCAAAACCAAAGGGGCTGGATTGTGGGGGACAAGGTTGCTTGAACACCAAAAGGTACACAACACCTCCTTAGAGACATTGACATGTCTGCCATCGGAGCGTAAAAGTCCTAAAACGTTTCACCTAGGGTCAGTGTGATTGCTACAGACAACTTTTCAAACTAATCCTCAGAGACTTCCCAGACGTACGCGTCCTGAATATAACACCGTAATGTTTCCCAGAATACAGAGTAAGCACTTTGAGATTATTTGCTATTAATGAAAACAATTAGGGGCTCAGGCTTTTGGTAGCCCGCCAACTACTGTTTCAACATTTCCCCCCTTCCTTGCAAGTGGAATTTGAACTCTCTAAATTGCTTCCCTTTAGTAACAATGCAGTAAACACCCTCCAATCCCCCTCTCAACCATCTGCCCATGGTCAACATCACCTCGGTAACTGCTAATGACATGTGCCGCAGCTCGGCCTTGTAGTGCATCCAACCGTCCCACCTTGTAGTACTGAGGTGGTGCAACTCCAAGAGACCGAACAGAGTCCAGAGTCAGTGGAGTCGATCAGCAGATTGTTACATTTACCGTGAGTTTCTTTATTTTAATTGGAGGGGGGGGTGGTCCTCGATGTTGAGAAAATTGGTAGACTAGAAGGAGTGGAAAAAAGAAAAATGCAAGCAAAAGAAAATAGGAGTAGAGTTAGAAGGGGTGCATGCATTTCACTTTTTCATCTCCCATGTCCCGGCAGCCCTCTCGCCTGTCCTCTGCAGCAGCAGTGGCCCGCGCGGAGACATCAAGCACATTCCAAGAGTCGGCCCAATTACGGACAGATGAGGGGCAGTTCTCTTTGTTTAAGAACAAAGCCAGAAGTGACACAACTGATCTTAAAAGGGAGCTCTCACAGCCGCGGCCGAGGAGAGGGGGGCCCGGTAGGGTTGGGGGAGGTGACCAGCTGGTTATAAATATCTATTTGGTCAGTTACTGGAAGGAAAATTTGCAGTTTGTTTGTCATCCACTCAACCAGGTGGTGAGCCTGGTGGTTGCAAAACATCAGGGCAGAGAGAGAAACAGAGAGAGAGAGAGGGAAGGAAAGAGAGAGAGAGAGAGGCCAACCTGTTTGAGTTTGCCAGAAATGAGGAATTTGACTAATTCCTATATGAAAGCCACATGTCATCCTCGAGTGTAAACCTGCAATGAGAGAGAGCTCATGGAACAATCGCGGTACATATTTAACCCAGTAATTATTCTGATCGTGCACATTAGATATTGCTGCAATGAAAATTTGTCTTGTACTCATAATTACTTCATTTTTAATGACTGTCATCTGGAAAATAAGAGTATCGGAACATTCTTGTTCAGTTGACTGGGACTGCAGATTATTCATATTCCACACAGAAATTTACTGAACTAAAATATTCACTCAGTAGAGCGCAAACCTTCACCGAGGCCCAACAGTCCCCCTAAATTCATGCACCAAATTTCACACACTCATACATATCAGTTCCATAAATGTGCCTGATTATTTTAATCAAGAGCCTTGAATTATCCCCTGGGAAAACTGGAAATGTTGAAAAACTGCAGAAAAGTTTATTGGGTTCTTCTGTCATACCACATCTTTCCACCAGGTTTCATGGAAATCCTTTCAGTTGTTTTTGTGTAATCTTGCATACAAACAATAACACTTACAAACAAATAAACCAACGGGGGTGAAAACTTAACTCCTTGTCTGAGGCAATAACTAATCAGGAATAAAGGGGCTTTGCACAGCTTGAATTCAGTGAGTTTTCAGGGTAGAAAATACTGAAACTATCCACAGAAGCTCCTCAAACCATTTGTGCAGAACAATCAACTTTTCAGAAAAAACATCTACAGCTTCCAAACATTGTACTATTGGCCTAAAAAATTTAAGCTCCCCAGAAAACCACTTTTCTTTTTTTACAACTGCTTGCCAAAGCCCATGGGGCATGTGAATTTAATACTAAAAAGTAACACTTTAATAACGCACATTATGCAAGTGGTTGGTGATGGCCAGAAGTGTGCAGCATTGAACTGCAGAGGGGCGGGACGAGTTTAAAGTTTAATTCCCACTCTGCAGTAAATTAGAACACAGCAGGATAATTTCTGTTTATTCCAAATACAGCTGCCTGGGCCTCTCTCTCTCCTATCCCTCTCCCCCCACAGACCACACCACGGCCCCGTGATCACCTGGACCAGCAGTACACACACACACAAATAGCAGCACACAAAACACACATTATGCAAACACATGCACTCGCATAAACAAACAAACGGGCACATGCATACATGCACGCAGTATGTACACAGATGCAAACACACAAACTCACACTGCAGGCATGCACACACACACTGGGATGTAAACACACTGGTTGCCACTAGAACAGATACATTACAAATAGATTTTGCAGTTCAATGACACCGATGACACGAGGAGTGAACTTGTGTGAACAGAGAGACGAGCACTTTGTGGCATCTTCATTTTAATTTTCATTAAAGAGGTTGTCTATGTCTTTATAGAGTGTATCTCATTCTACGACTCTGTTTGTCGTAATATACTCGGAATATACTTATGGAAAACAGTCTCCCAGAAGGATTATTTTATTGAAACATTCATAAAGTTGTTTGTTTCGCACCATTTAAAATGTTGTGGATTATATTTCAGTTCTTTTTTTTCTACCCTTGTGACTATAAACTTTGCAGTAGTGTGTGACTTTTTTTAGGAAGTATACTGACTCGTCTTTTTCAAAAGCAGCAAATCAGCTTTTTCAATGAGCAAGCCGTTGCTGCGCTCTAGTGGCAGATCATGTTATTGCACGTTATACGAGCTATTAGGGCAAGGTCTGTAACTATAAATGAGCTTTTGTCTCCATCTAGTGATTTTTTTATAAACATACACAAAGGAATGAGGTACAACGTTGACAACACATAAATATAATAAATGTACAAATAGAATAGAATATCATTATTATAGCCATTATTATTTTTTTCATCTGCTTCTCTCTTGTTTGAATCTACCAGTGCACCATTGAGTCCATACTGACCAGAAGCATTACGGCATGGTATGGCAACAGCACACACAGACCGCAAAATGCCTGAGTGGTCTAATCAGCCCAGTACATCACTGGAACGACCCCCCCCATCTCTGCAGGACCTCTATCGACAGAGGGTCATCAGAAGAGCCCGGAACACCATCAGAGATCCCACACACCCCTCTTCTCACACTCCTTCCATCTGGCAGACGGTATAGGAGTGTGAAATGCAGGACCTCAAGGCTCAAGGACAGTTTCTACCCCCAAGCCATAACACAGACTAACATCTCCAAGCCACTGCCCCTGTCCCCTCCACCTCCCACCCTCCACACATAACCAACAAGGACTTAAAGTGAAATGAGGAGTATTCAGCTGCAACATGCAACTTCACCTCTAGATATCACTTAATTCTACACACTGAACCTTTAATGCAACTTTTGAACATTATGCACCTTGTTGTCTTTTTGCACAAACTGTTATAATTCGGCACTGACTTTTATACTGTCTTTGGCTGTTTTTAGGACACCTAAATCACCTCCTCTACCTCAGGTGTTATTTATCTCTCATCCTTTTTTCAAGGTTTAAACTTAAGTTTCCAGTATGTATATATATTTAAAAGTTTCTAGTTTTCTTTGGATGTTTCTAGCTCATTTTAATAACTGACAGCACCAGGCAGAGACAAGAGAACTAAGAATTTAATTGCATTTGTTAACTTTGCATATGACAATAAAGCCTTTGAACCTTCCTTTTGGTTGATTATTAACATTTTCCATTTCTAACTGAGGTTTATAATAATAAGATGTTGAAAATAGAAAAAAAATTCGCATCTTAATAACAAAATGGATTTGTCTCAGTCTAGCGGACATCATGAGTACTGCATGTCCGGTTGTCACGTTCGCGTAACTTCTACGTGCGCGTTCACGGGTGAATCCTGTGATCCGTGCGCATCAGCTGTCAAGCCGCACGCACGCATACTACAGTATTGTCTCCGAGCGGAGGTTTGTTTGGACAAACCGACTGAATGTCGTATTCCTCCGGGACCACCGGACAACTCAAAGTGTGGACACCGGGACACGACTCCGGAGGAGCCGGACTGAAGCGACGTGGTAACGGGGGGGAAGTAGTTTGACCCATGTCCGCGAGGGTTTGATGAGGTTTCCGGTTGTAACGTTAGTGAGACGCTAGTTCTGTATCCAGCTCTATTAGCTTAGCCGGCTAGCATGCTAACAAGCTGATGTAGCCGCGGCGCACTGGAGGAAATGCCCCGGCCGCTCGTCTGGAGCTCTTTGATTTGGTTAAAATTAGTGTTTTTTTAAAGAATTATGACATGTTGTTGGTGGATGTGGTGAAGTGGTGGCAGCTTTAACGAGGAGTAGTGGCAGACGAGGCAGGAGGAGGAGGAGGAGGAGGCTGGGCTGCTCGGATAGTTATGAGCAGTGTCAACATCACAACCGACACCTCCACGTTGAGCTCCTCTTTGGGCACCGACAGTCAGGGCTCACCGCTCGGCGTCATCAACAACAACAACAAGGAGTGGGCTTTGGGAAGCGATGGGTTCCCTTGCTGTCACGAGATGAGTCCCATGGACGAGACGGTGCAGGCGGGAATGTCCTCGGTCCAGCCGGGACTGGACGGGCACCTGCCCTTTCTACACGCCGGGCACCGCAGCCCACAGGGCGGCTTGCTTCTGGACCTGACTTCCCCCGGAGCCTACATCGGCAGCGGGCCCCTGGAGTACAGCAACGGCGTCGGGAGCAATGTCGGCCCGCTGTTCGAGAGAAGGAAGAGGTCTAGGTCCAACAGCTCCAGGCACCGCTTCAACGAGGTGGTGACGGAGCTCGGTCCCGAGGAGGTCCGGTGGTTTTACAAAGAGGACAAGAAAACTTGGAAGCCCTTCGTCGGGCATGACTCGCTCAACATCGAGCTCATGTTTCGGAAATACTGCGAGCTGATCCCCAGTGTGGCGGACTCCCGGGGCAGCGGCGGCGGGGAGAAGGAGGAGGAGTGCGGTGGTGGTGACCGTGCGGAGGGCAAAGGGCTGAACGGTGCGGTGCCGGTGGAGACCAGGGCCAGCAGCGTGCACGGAGGCCGGGGGTCCGTGGACACGTCCACTGTGTCCTCAGAGGAGAGGGACCCCGACTGCATTGAGATCAACGTAGAGCCTGTGTGTGTCCGGGGAGGGCTCTACGAGGTGGACATTAAAGAGAGGGAGTGCTACCCTGTTTACTGGAAGCGTGAGTATCATACAAACACAAGTATCAAGTCATATTTTTGTTCTGCATCAGTCACAGCTTGTGTTACTCCAGGTCTCCGCTGCATCACTGATTGAGCTACCATGGCACTAATGCCTTCTTTGCACATATACATAATGGATGTACTGTGCGTTCTGCCATATAATGGCTAACAGCATACAGATTAATGACCCACATCCACTCACAATTCTGCTGCTCATTCAGACAATCATTGTGCATTGCACCATCCATCCATACTCCCACAAAATATCTCCAATAAACCCCACAAACATAACAAAATGATTATACATTTATCTTAGTTGATCGTTGACTCTTACATAGTTTTTGCACTATTGTTTTTGCACTGGCTCTGAAACTATTTAGCCTTCTCTTTTGGGATCATCTACACAACCCAGGGAGTCAGTCTATTAGTCTCAGCTGATCTGCACTAACTAATTCATGGACATTTCCAGGAAAAGGCTGAGAACAAATGAAGGCAGTAGCTACATAGAGGACGTTGGAAAAGCTGACCCCCGATGAAAGGGTTCATGGGTTGCTGGTTCTTTTGAAGGTTAACGCCATGTGACATTTAGAGAAGCCAGTTATTTTTTCCTGAATGTTCATTCTGTGGGATTTGAGTCCTTTGCAGACAGTTCATGCTCTCACTTTGATGTTTCAGCTCAGCCTGTAGCTCTGCTAATTGAATGGCATGTTAGCGTTTGAGACCCCAAACGCGTTTGAGATGTAAATTAATGTACAAGAAGGTTATATAGAAAGTAATCAAAAGTATATTAGCTGTGAGATGTGGAGGAGAATTAATCTAAGAAGACCTTCAGATACTCTGATTAAAATATAGGTTTTAAATGATGGTAATCGCTTTTTGTAGTAATATCAAAATGTTGCAAATAAGGTGAAAAAAAAGTTACTTATAATTTCACAGGAACTTGAAACATCACATGTTGTGTGAAGCTTAAATACTTCTCTTCTCTGACCAGATATGAACCACCCTAATAATGAGTGACTGCACTATACTCTGAGCCTCAGTGTTTCTTTCAAATGCATAATAAGAGCAAGCTGATGTATCCAGATGTGCAGTGTCATTGTGAATATAAAAGGTTCCTGTACTTGGCAAAGTGTGCCTACATTCAGTTCAGCTTTTACACTGATTTTCACCACCGGAGACTCAGTTAATAATGTCGCTCAGGACTGTAATCAAAGCTGGCCTCGCTTCAGAAGCCTCTGAGACTTGGCCTCTCTGGAATTACCAGACTTGTTGAGTAAAATGGAAATGAGTTCACATCATCCAAAACACACATTTAAAATGAGTCAGTTCTTAGAGAGTGACTGTGGCAACACTGTTACTCTGGAGGATTTCTGCTTAAAATAAACCAAGCACAACAAAATGGAACTGTACCTAATTTATAATTTTACCCCACCCAGAAAAGTCAAGACCCCTGGATTCAGAGGACTGGCTCCAAAATGTGCATCCTTACATTTAAGTTGTTGTTTTTTATCTGAGACTAAATCTCTGTTTTACTGTTTCAGAACAAGATCACATTTCAGTGATGAGAGGGCAGTGGTTTATTGACGGTACCTGGCTCCCATTGGAGGAGGAGGAGAGTGACCTCATCGAGCAGGAGCACCTGAACCATTTCCGTGGGCAACAGATGCAGGACACGTTCGAGTCCGACTTGGTGGTGAAGACCGTCGATAGCAAAGATGGTGAGAGAATGGGAAGGGCACAGGTAGAAGAATAAGGATGATATGTTTATTTGTTCAGCTGAATGTTCTGAATCTTGAAATCTGAATCTAGAGATTTTAAACAGCAGCATCGTTTAACTTAAGTTTGAATCAACAAAAGCAGTTGTCAGAGTCAGTAGAAGAAACAAAAAAACAAAAATACTTTAAACCAGCAACTTGAAATTCAAACACTCCTTTACTGGTGGATTCACTGACTGTGCAGTGTTTTTATTCCAGTCAGGCAGCATCTTGTAAAATAACACCTCCATTTTGTTAAGGCAGCGTTGTGATGAAACACCCCCACTGGCATTTTAGTTTTAAATTCAATTTAAAAGTAAAGTCACCATCTTCACAATAAAGCCAGAAGAAACACATTGTGAGTCATAAACGGTGAATTATGTGGCAGCCCTGCCTGTTTTACTATCGAAGCACAGTCGAGAGAAATTAATGGAGCAGGTGCATTCTTGTGTGCGTTGGTAGATTTTTGTCAAGTCATCCTTGCGGTGTACAGCAGGTGCAGGTCATTGTGACATTTTTCATTTTGGAATGTCCGTCTCGCAGGGCTGTCTCAGGCGAACACGTCGTAGGCTTTAGCTGTGAGGAGCAATAAGAAAGAGGCTCTTTGATTCAGCAGTGTCCTTAAGGCAGCCAGATCTACGGGACCTTCTGTGGTGATGAATGTGTGGGCGCGTGAATGTGGCAGATAAACAGAGCAAAGCGGAGAGAAGAAGCAGCTACTGTCGGAGGGAGTGAGAAACTGTTTAGTCGGCATCGTTACAACTGAGGGGATACGAGTGAGAGATACACAGATGTGTATCAAAGCATGGCTAAAGTAATCTGAAACATACAATATCATGACTACTGAATGGAATAATTATTATAGCATGTAATATTATTCAATTACTCTTAGTTCCTGCAACACTGGAGTCATTTTCAGACGTGCCTTTCTAATATAAAGAACACAGCAGGATATTGTCTTTCCAAGTTGACATCTTCTACGTGTATGGCTCCTATTTTTCACCCAGAAGTATTTGTAATACGTTTTATTTTGACCAGTTTTACGTCCATCATGTATTGGAAATGACATCAATGTGTCCACTCGCTTGCTGTGAATTTTCCAGACATTCGTCTGCTGTACACGGGCTCACTCATGGGACATTTGACCAGGGGGCTGCAAGGAAGAGTTCTGTAAAACGTCAGAGCATTTCTGAAAGCAGCTTTATTTATTTAATCTGAATAATAACAACTGCATAATGAGTCACTGTTAAATTCCTATGAATCAAACAAAGCTTAAGTTTTGTTTTGGCTTGCCTCATGTCTTCTGTGTTCGCTATGGTGCACTGAACTATCACTGCTCCCTACTTGGAATAAATGAAGCCCTGTAAATAAAACAAAATCAACAGAGCAGAGCAAAGTCACTTTCATTGTCACCCTTTGGGTCTTCCTTCATATCACGTCACATGAGCTTAAAGAGAAAAAACTGAAAGGTCACTCCTGTTCCACGAGCAGTGGTGTACATATACACACAGGCCCACTAAAATATCTGTGTGCACGTAGGCATACAAACAGTCACAGAGGACAGAGGGATCACAGACAGAATTATCTGTAAGGTGTCTGACAAACTGCACAAGGGCACACAGATTGGTTTTCCAACAAGTGGAGGCCCTTGACTAATGCACATCACACAGATCATATCTTTTGTCTTGCAAGGGTAAATTTCAATCACTATATTATACACTTAGAATTCGGTTCTTATCTTAAGCAATTGTCTTTTTTTCACACCACACTTCTATTTAATAAATAGGGATCATAAAGCGAGCCGGCTGGGTTCAGACATTACCGCAGTACGTACATTTCCTGTGCTATTTCTCGCTCTCTCCCTCTCCTTATCGCGTCTCCTTTTTCTGCCCTTTCCCTTGTGCCTCAGTGAGTAGCTGAGACTAAAGGTTAGTGAAGCAGAAGACGTTTGATCTGCATACCAGCATGCTATGCAGGCATAACTGTGGGTTGCACTCCTGCAAACGATCCTGTCCTCTCACTTTCCAAATGTACTTTTCTGCCAATGTTCTCTTCATGAATTGTGTAGTCAGCCAGTCATGGCCGGTTTTCTGGGAAGAATGACTGTTGCCGCAGGAAAGTTGACAGTGGTGACAGATGGTGAGCTTGTGGCATCAGAGAGGAAGCCTCGGCTCTTAACTCAGTTATTGAAGCCAAAAATGGCCACGAGGGGATTGCAGTGGATGGGTTTTATTAATTGTGTGTTAATGTTTTATTTTTTCCATTTTCCCATCTTTGATCCATGCAGCTTAATTCTTAGTGTCAGTTTCTAAGTTGAGGTAAATACGCAACAGTAAAAAAGAAGTAAACATTTAATTCAAATTAAGATCCTGTCCATTTATTTTAGGGTTTTCCAGTGCGTGTATCTATTGAAGAGTAATCCTATGATGAAACTAATGGGTGTGTCCCAGTCAGTCAGGCTTCTCAGATGTCAACGGAAAAAAAAAGCCGGCATGCTGCAGGCCAAGGAAAAGTTTGTGTACGCTACATATTCAGCTACATACTGTATTTATACCCATGAGGCTGAGAATACACTTAGTAACTAATGACTGATGACACAGGTTTAAAAGAACTGGAGTTACATTTTTCACCCAATAACTTTTTAATATGTAATGTTTCAGTTGCATGAATCTGGATAGCTGTTAGATTGAAACATTACGAGTCTATGAGATTGTCTAACCTCTCTGCTTATTGTAATAACAACATATATACTTGTTTAGTGTGATCGAGTAATGATTGTTGGCTGTCCAGTTTTACCCTCGGGGGACATAAAAGTCATGTGTTTCTTCAGCCCTGAGGACGATCACACACTATAATCTATGGCACAACTAAAGGTTATTTGTTCCTTATGAGGAAGACTGTGTACATGGCCATTAGGGAACAACTATTTATGGATGGACCCATCAGCACTGTAATGGCAAAATGGACTTCACTGATAGCTTAGCAAATACACATCCTGTGTACTCAGCAGGTCTCTCCTCATCAGACTTTCACCTCAGCTGAGGGAGACACTGCTGACATTTGCAAGTCTGATTCACTGAGTGAGTGAAGACCTGCGATTTGTGGACTTTGCTGATTTGATTAACAGATGCTGAGAAATCCTTTTTTAAAACATCAGATCAAGTCACACACTTTACTGATTCAGTGATTTAAAGTAAATAGAACATTGTATGATTGAGCTTCAGTTTTGAGTTCAAGATTAGCGTACATCACATGAATTGAATTTATAATCTAAATCCAGCAAATGTTTACCAACCTATTATTAGTTTCTGTCCATCAGCGATAACCGGCACATTTGTAATGTGTTTACCACCACACCTTATTGGGTTATTGTGGGGTTTTTCTCACAAGGAAAATGAAATTAGATGTGGTATCTATCAAACCTTAAATCACTTGTGTCAGGATTTGATCAAGGATTATTTCAGTTTTATGTATAAAGTGATGTGTGTTACTGTGAAAAAAGTCTTAACATTAATGACTCTACTTACATTGACATTAGAGCACAATTACAGGAACAGGTTTAACACTTGTTCATTAGAAATAACAAAATAATTCACATTCAGGCACATCCTTATTTGTCTCAGGTAAAAGATTTGCAGCATCATAACTACTTATTTGCACAAAATTCGTTAGCACATTCATTGTTTTCCCTCACGGTGTGTACTTTTCATATTACAGAGTTCTATCACCTTAAACCTTAACCTTTCTCCTTGTATGGTTTTAGCTGGTATGTGTTTCTGAGGATTGTGTTTTCAATACGTTTTAAGTCATCATTAACCAAAACGGAAACATGCTTAGTGTTTAGAAGTGTGCTCTTATTTCTGTCTCACTTTTTTACAAAATGTCCAATGAAAATACTTTTCATTAACACTTTCCTTTTTACAAATATCCCATTGTACTACACAGACACAAAAGATTATGCATAATGGTATTTTGTTGTTATGTTTCACAGTTGATTTCTGTATTAAGTGTATTTGAAAGTCTACCTCAGTCATCTTGGGCGAATGTCAAGAAGCGCTGCATTTTGGGCTCACCACAGCCTTCTATGACTTTTTTCCCCAGCTTATTCTCATGATATCTACCTGCAGCCACCAGGCCCTGTCAGTAACCAGTACAGGCTCTGTATGTGGGTAACCTGATAGCAGCGCTACTTGATAGATCAGCCTGTTCTAGAGCGATGACAGTGGTAGCTTGTGTGACTGAAGGCAGGGTTATAGCCATTACTCACTCTCTGTCGGTTGTTAGTTCTCTCCCACCTGCCCCCTTTCTACCTCCCTTTTCTGTTCAAATGGAGTGGATATCAGACGAGTGCTAAAACTACATGTCACAAGCGCAAACGCTGTCAAGGTACTGTATAATACCATGTTCTATGTTTTGTTTCATTTTACCTCTGCTGTATTAGATCTACTAGCTTGATCCTCTCTCCTTGTAGAACCTATAGGTCTCCTTGGAGCTAGATTTCCCTTTTGTTCATGGTTCAGACCTGTTGAAATCTAATTCATAGAGCTAGAACTAGGCTCAGTTAGAATTGGTTGTATTAAATTGATTTAGGCTGCTCTCCTGGTTCTGTATTGCAGCCATAACTGGGCCTAGTTGCTAGAACGTCTCCTTCTGTGCTGTGACCCAGAGTTTGGTACTTCTGCTGTGGCTGATGCTGCTTGGTGATGGAACCTATTGATCTATCGCTCATCTCCTTGCTGGGATAGTAACATGGATCAGCCATCTACTAGGGCAAGACCCCTTCAACCACTGGATCTAGAATGAATAAGCTGATCCTCAAAAAAAGCTCCTTTGCCCATTTTTATCTCTCTCTCTCTCTCTCTCTCTCTCTCTCTCTCTCTCTCTCTCTCTCTCTCTCTCTCTCTCTCTCTCTCTCTCTCTCTCTCTCTCTCTCTCTCATTGCTTTCTCTTCCTCATCCCCCCTGGCAGTTTGAGCATCATTAATGAACCGCCATCACTTGCTCCCGCGCTAAGGGCAATGAACAAAGCACTCTGTTAAGAGCCCTTGCACAAGCAATGAGCTACACAGAAGAGCCATTGTGGCCGTTTACTATAGCCCCCAAACATAGTGTGTGGAGTCAGCCTCTTAGAGGTCCATCACTGTCCTAGTTGTAGGTGCATTGACCCTCTCCAGGTCTGTGTCCTCAGCTCATATAGTAAATCCAAGCGACCGTTGACCTAAAATCTAGTGTCCTATGTAGACATCAACAGAAAGTATTAGGGGTTTGCAAGTAGCACTCGTACATTGTAGAATAGCATAAAAGAAACAATTGATCCTTAGAAAACAACTGTCACAGCCCCAGACTAATAGACATCCTATTTATGATGATTTCAAGGAGCCCCCCCTTTTCATCTCTTTCAACCCCTCTGTTCTCTGCTCATTGCTTCTTGCATCTTTCCTAAATTGTCTCACACAAATTCCCCATTTACCCTGTGTACTTCAACAGCTTATCCAGACTGTTCCCACAGTCATGTTCTTTGCTCCTCACTCCGTACTGTGAAACCCTCCCTCACCCTCAGTAGATCTCCACAGCCATCAGAGAGCAAGCTCAGTAAACTCTTTAACCTTGTGTTGGTTCACTGCCAGCTCCTCCGTCCGCTTTGATCCCCTCCTCCTTTCCCTTTCCTTTGTAATGCATTGGCCTTCATTGTAAAACAGGAAGTCTTCTTGGACAGCCAATAATCACCTTACTGGCAACGTTTTCCCTCTTAAGTCTCATAAACTTTAACATTTGATATTAATAAAAAAAACAAAAAAACCACTGAAGAAATATGCATGTTGTAGCTGAGCTCAAAGACTTCCTGCCTTACAGTGTACTTGGCTAACGATAAGGCTCAACAGCCTGAAGTGGCCCTCCTTGTGTAACAATTGTAGGTCTCATCTCACAGATCAGCTTACTTCCCTGAGTCTTTACCTGTGAGTGCATGAGGTATCGATAAGAAGAGAGGGCCACTTTAAACTGCGGTGGTAGAGGTCAAGCATCCGCTTCCATTTGGTGCTGAGCAGTTTCATCTCAGGACCTACAGAGATAAATGGAAGCGCGTGAGAGAAGAAACTCAATCGCTCACCTCTCGTTTCTCAGGACAAGAGCTTTATTATTTTATTACTGTGATTCCAAGTTCGATTAGTGCCCTTCCTCTGTCCAACAAATGTTTCTTGTTGTCTCCTTCTTTGGGACTCTGCTTGTCTTTCTCCTGTAGAAGCATTCGTTCATTTTCTCACTGGCTGCTCTCAGAGTGAACAGGTCTCAGTTAAGGTGCATTAATTACTAGGTGTCACATGACCCGCCAGTCATGCTTGTCCAATGCCAGGCAGCAGAGGCTCAGCTAAACCCCACCATGACACACACACACAATTTATTTCTGCCATGTAGACATGGCTGATGAATTATCAAGGAATGGAAAGGAAGGAAAGATATTAAAAGATGAATAAGGAGGGAATAAACCTCTTGAAAGGATGCACAGATCTGATACAAGATTGATTCCCTGGTCCCTGGTTTGCTCTTGTACAAAATGTATAAAAGACATTCAAAAGATAATACAATAATAATGTATTTCTTCTACACCATTGTTTGTGGGTCAATACTGCTCACACAAAAGCATTGCGTTTCTCCAACTGCTTTACACCACTCTCAAGGGTTTTAATCCCTAGATTGGTTCAGAGCAGTACAAAGAGCCATGACTGTGCGCTGGACCTACGCCAAAGCCTTCCACCAATCTCAAGATGAACTTGACTGCACAGGACATCTAAGGGACATGCTGCTGCAGGGACATAAATAACTCTTTGGAATGTACCAGTTTCATTTATCGCTCGTAGGTTCTGTAGTAAATGGTGTCGCCTCTCGAGCCATACCTCTGCTCTTACTTGCTCCAGTCGCTGCATTATACTTTGACAACCTAGAGAAAAATAAAACGTGAGAATGAAAATAGTTTAATATACCTAAATGTTGATGCACATGTAGGATGGACAAGCAAGAGCTGAAATATGCAATCATGGTGTGTGATAGTTTGATGTGTTTTCTTTCTACCTGCAGATCAATGCTCCCAACTGCATTTGATTGAGCTGTTCAAATGATCCTAGAAATTAGCTTTTCTTTTTCTACTTGCATTTATGATTGTCACTTGGTGTAATTCTTATGCTGTATTCAGTCTCTCACTCTTTGCACTCAAAACACTTTATATTGGTAAACCTTTTTCCCTCGCCCGTTTCCCTGGTTATTCCCTTCTCTTTGCCGAATTTCCCACTCTGTCTGGCAATGCCCTTCTCTTTTTCCTCTTTCCATTCATTCAATCACTCCTCTCTCTCTCTCTCTGGCCCCCTCCCACAGCCATCCGCAGTCTGAAGCTGAGTCGGACCCACGTGGATTGGCACAGCGTGGATGAGGTCTACCTCTACAGCGACGCCACCACTTCCAAAATTGCTCGCACCGTCACTCAGAAACTGGGTTTCTCCAAAGGTTTGTAATCACAGACTGTCATTGTCTTTCCTAACTTTCCCATTACCTTGTGGTTGACATTAGCATTTAGCTCAAAGCGCCATTGTGCAGTACACAAGCGCTAGCATGGCTTCCCACTCAAATATAATTCTGTCGACATCTTATGTACAAATGTTATTCTTATGACACAATCATTTTCTTGTATAAATGACCTTTTGCAACTTACTTAAACATGTCTGCGCACAGTTCAGTCTCTTAAATGGATTAACCCAGATAATCACTGTGTCCATCTGCTGTTATGAGGGCTTAGTTTCGATGAAATGGCTTAAGTGTAACTGTAAAGATGGCAACAGCACTTTAACCTAGTGTGTGATTTTTGATCTGTAAAGAATCTGAGAGACTCCTAGCTCTATGGCACATTTTCAGTTCAATAAGAGGAGGAGTGGGTACTAGCTATCTCAATCTCCCCTGACACACAAATGCTTCGTCAGGGGAAATCTCCAGACAGCAACAAATGCTATCGGCTCCTGCCACCTGGCCGCACAGCACATGACTGTACATGACTCTAGATCTAAATAAGGACCCGAACTCTATCCTCTAGACGCACCACGTGTGACAGCAGAACTGTCTCACCTACTGGCCTTTTTGGAGTGGGAACAACATGTTACTAACCTTCAACAACATTTATTAATATCCCTCTAGTGAACAGACTGAAAATGTGTTTATTTAACAGTGCTGGAAACAAATGCTGTAAATAATGATTTGATAAAACTCTCACCCTGTCATCATTCCTCTTCCAGCCTCAAGCAGTGGTACACGGCTCCACCGCGGCTTTGTCGAGGAGGCCTCACCTGAGGACAGACCCCCTCAGACTACACACATCGTCTTTGTGGTCCATGGGATTGGACAGAAGATGGACCAGGGACGCATTATTAAAAACACTGGAATGTGAGTTGTGATATCAATAATATGATTTAATTAAGGATTTGCGTGTTTTCTTATTGTAAGCAGATCAACAATATTTTAATTCAATTTAAAAGGATGTCTTCCACCTGTCTAACTTTGGAATTTACACACTTTCTATATCCAATCTAAGTTAATTCATGTAGGTGGGAGAGGAAAAACTCTCTCCATGATGATGTGATGTTTGAAATACCAAGAAGTTTGTTTGCTCTCTGTTCCTCTTTCAGTCACAGTCTGTCCCTGACACTTCTCGTTCTGTCATTCTGTTTTTCCCGTGGCTTTTATGACGACTGTTCTCTTCTTCCCTCTTTACTCTGTCACACTGTTTGTCACGACACAGGCACAAAAGCACGATCACACAATGCACATTTTGTTTTTAGTAGCTGATGAGGGGTTTCAGATATCAACCTGTCTGACAGGTTCTTGTGATTCCAGATATGGTAAATTATGTAACTTGTCCATCTATAGATTGCATGATTAAAGTGCTTGCAGAAAATGAAGGTACCGCTCAGTTAAAAAAAATATGATTAAACAATTGTAAATACAGTGAATATCCGTAGGATAGAACTGCACTGCACTGTTTTACCCTCAGCTTCATTCATCTAAAGCCTCTAATATTCACAGTAGTCTAAGTTATTTCCAGCATTTCTCTTGATACCACTGCACCTGCAGCCTTTGTATTTTGTTCTCCTCCCTTCCTTCCTCTATCTTTCTCACTCTCTTTGTCTTCTCCTGCTGTTCTCTAAAGTCTGTCCTTGTATCGTTGTGCTGACCGTCTGGTAGCCAGGAAAGCATTACACACTGAGACCCGAGAAAACACAGCAGAATAGGGAAATGCATTGCAACACCAGACAATACAGAAATGGTATAAAATGCTTGCAATGCATCAGCAGCAACATAATAAAAATGCTGCAGGAAACACTAAAGACATGACTCATTCCAGACAAAATAATGAAAATTATCAAATGTCCATGATGAACTCAGCTCAGAGCTATACTACCCAGTGTTAAAACTGTCAAGACCCGACAGTCCCCTTAAATTCAATCAAGCTGCACCAAATATTGACAAACAAACAAACCCACAGGAGTGAAAACATACTCATGACGACAATATGACGACAATTCGATCAATTTTCAAGTCTGCGTGTCCAGAGGGGCCAAATGTATTTCTTGGATGGTTTGAGAAGCACAAACAAAATCTAATTTACAAAACTGAAATACTGTTTTGTCTTTCAAATGCTTTATGTTTTATGAGGAACTCATCAATAGTTGACGTTTGTAGGAAGTTACAATTACACTATTGTATTGACCTTGGTGCCCTCTCAGTACTACCGCAAGCAGTAGAACAGAGGAACAGTGCCATGTGTGTCTGTGTGTCACTGAGTTGTTCTCAGGCCACCGGCCGTGGCTTAGGTCAGCTAAGCAGGTAAAGTAGACCAAGTCAGGCTGCAGAGCTCTTTAAGCCTCACTCCCAGCTCCTTGTGGATTATATCAGAAACACTTTCCTCAGCCAAGAGGAAAGATCAGCATGTCTGGCCTATTCATTGTGTATTCTTTATTTGTGTTGAAACTGAATTAAGTTCAGCCTTGTGCCTTTCAATGTTCCATTATATCATTAGCAGTGATGTTAGAGGAAATAGTGGAGGTTTAGGTGAGCTCTTTAAAATGTGAGTTCCCCTGCAGACACAGTAGATAGTCCGGCCATAACCTGCATTATAAGATTGCCCCATTCAGAGCCCAGTCGTTTAAAAGCCACTCTCAGCCTCTATTTACTCATATCAACAGCGCACCTCTCCCTCCTGTTAGCTAATGCTGCCCCATATGGGACTAGCAGCAGTGTAGCCATTGTGTGTGTGTTCATGAGGGAAACTGCTGCATCAGTGAGCAGAAAAATGGACGTCGTTATTCTCATCACGACTCAGTTGTATCAGGTTCAGACATCAACCCAGAACCTATCATGACTATAATGCACTGCTGCCCAAACGATGTGATACCAAAACATACTCTACACACCAATAAAAATGTTCACAATGTCCTAATCTAGTGTTTGTTCGTCATTGTCATGTGGTCATTCAGGCTGAGGGAGGGTGTGAGGAAGATGGAGGAGAAGCACTTTTCAGAAATCAGTGAGGAGCATGTGGAGTTCCTGCCGGTCGAGTGGCGCTCCAAACTCGCACTGGATGGAGGTTAGTGTGTGTTCAGTGAAAGTGATTATGCATGTTTATTCCTCTATGTTTAGTTTGTGCTTTAAGTATTAGCAGTTGAAGAGTGTTTTGTTGTTCCGGTGCGTCACTCTGCTGTTCATGTGTCGAGCCTCGTGCCATAATCATTGGTTGATAAATAACTCTCTGTGTTGTTTGTATGTCTCTGTAGACACAGTAGACTCAATCACACCAGACAAAGTGAGAGGACTGAGAGATCTCCTCAACAGCAGTGCGATGGACATCATGTACTACAACAGCCCCCTTTACAGGGATGAGGTGAGGGTCACCTGCTTTGAGAAACTCTGACTTTGTTGCACACCGTCCGTCCATTAAACTCCTCCCTCCCTGTCCCCCCAGATTACCAAGGGCCTAACGCAGGAGCTTAACAGACTTTACACACTCTTCTGCTCCCGGAATCCTGAGTTTGAGGAGAAGGGAGGGAAAGTGTCCATAGTGTCTCACTCCCTCGGCTGCGTCATCACCTATGACATCATGACAGGGTGGGATCCCGTGCGCTTCTGCCTACAAGAGGATCACGCTGTTGAAGAGGAGCTGGACCTGCGCTGGGTGTCGTACCAAGAGAGGCACCTTTTAGACCAGCTGCAGCTCACAAGGACTAGGTAGGGTTTACTGACGTAGATCTCAGGGATTGAATGTGTAGCTGCATGTTCAGGATCAGTGACAGATCTTTTGAGAAGCCTGAGGTACAACATTTATGTTTTATGTAGGTTCACTTAGCCGCAGAAAACCAAACAATGAATTCTATTTTTTATTTTACCCTCAGCTCACTCGATTTGACACCCCACGCTGCTCATACCTTTTCAACTACTCTCATTTAAATTCAACATCAAACTTTACATTTTCTTTGTTTTTTTAATTTACATAATGCAGCGTCTGCTATTCTTATACTTTTTTTCATGCAGCAAGTTGTGCTTCCTGCTTGTTTTTGTCAGAGGGCAGTGAATTGGAAGGGAAGAGGTTTTTAGTACACCTCATCTGCACCCATCATTCTGTTAGTGCAATATAATTTAATGTGTGCACCATTACCTTCGTGTAACAAGAAACATCTGGAACAAAGGTTGATCTGAGATTGATACCTGAATAAAAGGTCTGCAGATGATGAGTGTGTGGGTGTGGGCGGATGGGTGGGTAGGTACCTGGAGGTAATAGTAATACATACATGAATGTATATTGGAAGTTACATTACTATTTAATATTTAAGTTTATTTTCTATTTTATCATTTATGGTCACTGTGCTTTTCTGCTTTTTTAACAGGTTGCGAGAGCTTGAAAATCAGCTTGTTACACTGGAGGCCTCTAAACCCTCTGCACCTCCAGCCCTCAAATTTAAGGTAAGATTCATAAATGTCCTGTATGTTTACCATTACAGTATAATATACTTTATATAAATATATATCGATTTTGATTGTTTTTGTTGCAAAGATATGCTAGAAAGACAAACAAATTTTAAAAAATTCCAAGGCCCAACTTTCTGTAACTGTTGTCTTCCTCCTGTGAATATTTATCATAGTAATGTAATAATGTGTTTGTGTCTATTAAACAACATAGAAGTTCAAACATTTCAGACCTATCATTTTTCTAATCCTCAGGTGGAGAACTTTTTCTGCATGGGTTCTCCTCTGGCTGTGTTCTTGGCCCTGAGAGGCATCCGCCCTGGTACCAGCTGCCATCAGGACCACATCCTGCCCACTCCCATCTGCAGCAGGCTCTTCAATGTCTTCCATCCGACAGACCCTGTGGTCAGTCTTTCTTTTACCCCACTCTGATTCTTTCTCTCAGGGTTCAGATTTTCTTTTTTTATTATCATCTCTTTAGCATTTCTTATTTCTTTCTTGCTTGGTAAGCACATAAGTAGAGTATTTGTTAAAAGCAATTTGCTGTTTTTTACACTTTGCTGTCCTAATATATAGAAGCCAGAAATTTGCAACTAGCAACTCACTCAGATCTGCAAATAAAAATGTTTCGGACATATAAGGTAACTGAAATGTAATGCTCTCTGCAGGCCTACAGACTGGAGCCCCTCGTCCTCAAACATTACAGCAATATTGCACCTGTTCAGATACACTGGTAAGAGCTTGAATCTAAAATCCTACGACACTTGATATTCTTTGCACACACAAATATTGTTTTTCACAGTATAACTGCTCTGAACGCTGAGATTTTTTTCTTGGATCAGGTGTAGTGCCACAAACCCCACACACTACGATGAGATCCGACCAACCTTCCTCAACCCGGTCAAAGACCCAACATCTGACACCGAGAGCATTCCCAGCCCGAGCACCTCCCCTGTTCTTCCCCGCCGGCACTATGGAGAATCCATCACTAATCTGGGCAAGGCCAGTATACTGGGTACAACATGAACCATCACTTTTCTAATTCTGGTCCGATCTTACCTGTAGTAGCATGCATGACTGAAAGAGTTGTTAACATTATTTTAAACATTAAAGCAGCCTCATGGTAAAGAATGTATTACCA